ATAATTAAAGACTGTTATAGTACTCGTAACTGTAGACTCTACAGTAACATTTTTTTTATTTAGTTGTTTTAAGCCATAAAAGTGTTCCTAGACTTTATTTCTTTTGTTACGTTAATGTTCAATTTATCCAGAAGAAGATTTATGTTGCCTTATGTAAGATATTATTTGCAATAAAAGTTGATTTATAGACTGTTTTTGTGTATTTTTGAACCTGTCACTACCAACCTCAAGCGCTGCCACAACCGCTTGGCCGGCTTGTGGCCGGTTGTGACATTATTCCTTTTTTCCCTGATTTGCTCGTGTAAGGTAACCATTGTACATAAGTGCAAAATTTTTCTATTTTTACGTAGATAAATGTATACTTTAATATAAAAGACATCTTTCTTCCAGTTAAGTGGCATACTAACAAAATTATCTGCGATCCGTTGAAAATTGTTACAAACATACCCAGTCTACCCTACTGCTTATTTCTAGAGGCACAGTTATAAAAATTTAAGATTATAACTAGATTAAAAATAAATTTATTCAATCACAATCAGTACAATTAGTTGAGCTGTCATTGTTTGATTTTCAATAATGCAGTCAAAATTAATGTCTCTTTCAAAGTCATCCATAATATTTTTTTTGTATTTTCTACCACTTTTGCCCAATTATCCTTTGTGAAATGGGCACATGCTTCAACGAATATTGAAGAAACAGTCCAAAAAGTTAAAGCCGAGTCACAAAATAAGAAGACAAACACAAAATTACGCACAGTAAGCTCCCGAAATGGCGGGATATTGAAGTTACGTAGTGCTTTTTATATCGCGGCCTTGTATATGAGTTTTTTTGCCTACACAAATTTACGTTCGCAAATTAAAAAAAATAAACGTGTTCATGATTCATGTAGTTTAAGGAATTTTAAAAATAAAAATTAAATGAAACAAATAATAATGAAACAAACAAATAATAATATAAAAATTAATGATATATATAATGGAATATTTTTGTGACAGCACTGGTGATGCCTTATACACCGGCAGTGCCAATGTTTCTCGATAAAACATCGCCGAGTACTAGGACAAACTTGTGTCTGAAGTCCAGTCTTCGCTGAACAAAGTCTCAGATTGGGGGCGACTAAATCTAGTCAATTTCAATCCCCAGAAGGCACAAACTTGCGCGTTTACTGCTAAAAAGAACCCCTTTGTTGTATCTTCTCAGTTTCAAGGCACTCCCATTGCTGCCTCAGCTAGCATCGGAATCCTCGGCGTCGACATATCGAATAGTGTGCAGTTTTGTTGTTACTTGGAGGGTAAGGCCAAATTGGTCTCTAAAAAGCTTGGCGTGCTCAGCGGAGCGAGACAGTATTTCATGCCGGCACATCGCTTGCAACTTTACAAAGCGCAAGTTCGGCCTCACATGAAATACTGTTCTCATCTCTGGGCCGGGGCACCCCAGCGCCAGCTCCTTCCACTTGACCGCATCCAGCGCAAAGTGGTTCGAATCGTCGACAACCGGGTTCTTTCTGATCGGCTCGATTTACTGGCGCTGCGCGGGGCTATTGCATCCCTTTGCATTTTCTATAGCATCTGCCACGGGGAGTGCTCTGAGGAATTGTTCGGATTAATCCCAGCCACCAAATTTCTTGAATGCACATCGCGTCAAAATTCAAAATACTATCCTCACCATCTGGACGCTTGATGGTCCACCACTGTGCGTTTTACTAGGAGTTTTCTTCCTCGTACAGCTTCGCTGTGGAATTTGGACTTCTATGTGAATTACCACCGGTGATTTTTTCCGGACCGTACGACTTATATAGAGACCTTCAAGAAAAGAGCTTACTCCTTTTTAAAGGGCCGGCAACGCACCTGCAATTCCCCTGGTGTTGTGATTGTTCGTGAGCGGCGTAAAAAAAATACGTTTACCAAACACTAATTTCATTAGTTTACCAAACGCAAATACAAGCGGGAGTTGTTTTGTTCACTAATGACGCCAGGCCTATACAGGCCGATAAGAGTGTACGTGAATGGTCTAGCCTATCCTTTTCGATCTAACATACACGTACCGAGAGCCGTGGTAGCTCAGTGGTTAACGCTCGCTGTAAATATAACAGAACGCGAGTAACCCGGGTTCGATCCCCGCCGGCACCAATGAAATTGTTAATTGCAATTTTAAGTGCTGGTAAATCACCACGTGCTCGGCGGTGAAGGAAAACATCGTGAGGAAACCTGCATGTCTGAGGAATAAGAAAAAAAATATTTCGAAGACATGTGAAGTTCGTCAACACGCATTTGGGCAGCGCGGCGGACACTTCCTTGCCCTAAACCCTCTCAGAAATGAGGGGAGGCCTGAGCCCAGCAGTGGGACGTATATAGGCTGTAACTTTACTTTACTTTATACACGTACACTAGCTCTTTCTCTTTTTTTATTACCAATCTATTCTAACGTCAGTTAATACTAAAGCTATGCCAGCTGAGTTTTATTATCATAAAGAAAATATAGTATGTAATAGGTAAACAATAGAGTGATTCCGTTTTACTCGGAAACGCGTGTTCATCTATCCACCACAGACGGGGTGGGTAATCGGGATTCACTTTTATTTGCTCTTCCGAATTTTTATCCCAAGTACAGTTTCAAACATACACTTTAAATATTAATTAATTTTAAATAACCACAAACCTTATTAAAAACTTATTACGTATTACCGTTACCGCTACAGCCTTCTTCGTTACAAATAATATTATAGCTTAATTTATAAATTCTGCAATATGTCCAGGCAATTACAAACACTCTGCTCATTTCTGTCGAAAGAGCCAACTGTCAAAGCTGAAGACTGAGTGTGGCAGCATCGTTTCCGAGACACCTGAGATTTTGAGTGAGATTGAGAGGTACGATAATGTGTAAAGCTGCCCATAGAGGGCACCTTTACACATTATCGTTGGAGCCACACGCAAGTGTGAGTAAGGATCCAAGAGCAAGTCTTACCCGACACTATTCCGATGATATCCCGGACGTCAGTCTGAGCGAGATTAGAATGGCTCTCCAGCACCTTAAAAACGGCAGGGCCCCAGGCGAGGATGGAATTACAGCGGAGCTTCTGAAAGCGGGTGGAACACCGGTACTTGAAGTCCTTCAGAAGCTCTTCAATTCCGTCCTCCATGGTGGCACTACTCCGGAGGCGTGGAGCAGAAGTGCGGTGGTCTTGTTCTTTAAGAAAGGCGACAACGCTCTCTTGAAGAACTACAGACCGATTTCCCTTCTGAGCCGCGTCTACGTGCTGTTTTCGAGAGTCATTACGAATCGTTCGCACGCAGACTCGACGACTTCCAGCCTCCCGAACAAGCCGGTTTCCGAAAAGGCTTCAGTACCATAGACCCAACATACATACCCTGCGGCAGATTGTACAGAAGACCGAAGAGTACAATCTGCCACTTTGCTTGGCGTATGTGGACTATGAGAAAGCCTTTGATTTCGTCGAAACTTGGGCGGTGCTACAGTCCCTTCAGCAGTGCCAAGTTGACTGTCGGTATATCGAAGTGCTGAAGTGTTTGTACAGTAGGGCTACGATGGCTATCCGAGTACAGAAACAGAGTTCGAAACCTATCCAAATGCAGAGAGGTGTAAGACAGGGTGACGTTATATCCCCGAAACTCTTCACCGCTGCGTTGGAAGACGATTTCAAGCTACTGGTCTGGAAAGGATACGGTATTAACATCAATGGCGAGTACATCACTCACCTTTGATTTGCCGACGATATAGTCCTTAGAGGAACTTACCACTATGTTCAATGACCTCAATGGTGTCTCCCAACGGATAGGTCTTAAGATGAACATGGACAAAACAAAGATCATGTTTAATGTCCATGTCACACCTATGCCGATAGTTGTTGGGAGCACTATGCTCGAAGTTGTTGACGAGTACGTTTACCTGGGACAAATAGTCCGACTAGGTAAGTCCAACTTCGACCGAGAGGTCAACCGACGGATTCAACTTGGCTGGGCAGCGTTTGGGAAATTACGACACATCTTCTCGTCAAGTATTCCTCAATCTCTGAAAACTAAAGTATACAACCAGTGCGTGTTACCAGTGATGAATAACGGATCAGAGACGTGGTCCTTCACTGCTGGCGTATGAGGACGCTCAAGGTCGCTCAGCGAGCTATGGAGAGGGCTATGCTCGGAGTTTCTCTGCGTGATAGACTCAGAAATGAGGATATCCGCAGTAAAACCAGAGTGACCGACATAGCCCAACGGATTAGTAAGCTGAAGTGGCAATGGGCCGGCCATATGGCTCGAAGAACTGACAACCGATGGGGAAGAAAGGTTCTCGAGTGGCAGCCTCGTACCGGTAGGCGTAGTGTAGGGCGACCCCCCACTAGATGGAGTGACGACCTGGTAAGACATCAGGAAGTCGATGGATGCAGGTGGCTCAGGACCGTGCTTTGTGGCATTACTTGGGGGAGGCCTATGTTCAGCAGTGGACTTGTGAAGGGCTGTAATGATGATGAATTACAAACACAATTTCATATTTGAGTAGATGTAATTTGATATTCTGGATAAATTCGTCACTTTTAATGTAATTTTGCAATTCTTTGCACAGATGTGTTAGTGAAGAACTGAGCGTTTTTTTACAAGCATTTCAAAAACTTTACGATTGGAAGTTTGTTTTTAACTTCATTTTAAATTATTTGATGCCAAGATTCCAATGAATCTGTAATCTAGTAATCTTTATAATATAACCCAAACAATATAGCAGCTTGTGGCATATATATTTTTCAAATTATTGTCATTTCGTTGACATTTCCATCATCAAATTTATTTATCAATAAATAAATACTACTAATTTAAAGTAAACTTTTTACCTAACGAGCGTTATTTAATACGCTTTAGATAAAAAAAAAATTAAAAGATTTACTTAAGAAGAGATTTTACGCCCTATTTTGTTTGACGGTAAAAAAGTGAAGCAGTATATTGCGTGCGGCAAAAGAAGTGAAGTAGCGTGATTATGGTCGCTTGTCGCAGATGGAGAACTCGGGCGTGGTGCACATGCTGCTGCACACGCGCACGGCGGAGCTGGCGTGCGTGTACAAGCTGCTGTCGCGCGTGCCGGAGGGGCTGCGCACGGTGGCCGACGCGGTGTCGGCGCACCTGCGCGAGCAGGGCCGCGCGCTCGTCACCGATACGCACCACAACACCAACGCAATCGCCTTCGTGCAGGTCACCGCGCCCCTCCCCACACCCCACACCCCCTCACACTTACACATACAAATTTACAGTCATATCATAAAAACATTTTAAACTACCTACTATAAAGCTTTTTAAACCTATTTCGAAGAAAATTTTCTTTTATAGAATAATGATGATTGTTTTATGTAAGGGCTATTAGACTTGTGAAACATAATATTATATATAGTTTATTATTATAGATAAATATTTTTTATTTTTTATAGAGGTTTAGTTGTTTTATGCAAATATTATCAAATTTCAGAATTTGCTGGATCTGAAGGATAGATTTGACCATTTCCTTCACAACTCCTTCAACAACGACAAAATATTCAAACATATGATTGCTTCCGACTTTGAATATTTTCTTAACCTAAATAATAAGTCCCCTGAGTTTCTATCACTGTTTATTGATGGAAAATTGAAGAAGGGAGAGAAAGGAGTAAGTTTTCCTTTGCAATTTTTATTAATATGTTTATTAAGTAAGACAAATAAGGACCCCCACCCACCCCCACCCCCAAAAAAAGTTATGTTTTACTACCGAAATTTTAATTTATGATGCAGAAAATAAAAAGATATTTTTTTTAATAACTATATTATGGTACGAACACGTATTAATTGGTTGGACCAGGAGGGGAGGACCACGTTCTTACAAAATATCAGCGTCAAATAGAAGATTAATGCTGTGTTTCTTATGGCAACTGTAAAGAAGCAGAGACCCTTTTTACATAGTATCTGCATTTTGATACTTAATCAAGGATAGAACGTGAAACATACTATAGTATCCACTTACTATCAGATAGACTGTGCTCACTATGCGTTACAGTTATTCTATAAATATACATATATTATTTGTCAGATGAGTGAACAAGAGATAGAAGCAGTATTAGACAAAACAATGGTCCTGTTTCGTTTCCTTCAAGAAAAGGATGTTTTTGAACGATATTATAAGCAACATCTCGCTAAACGCTTATTGCTCAATAAATCCGTCTCTGACGATAGTGAGAAGAATATGATATCCAAACTGAAGGTAAGTTAATGATTTATAATTACTATATATTACTTTATAATTCCTAATAATATTTAAAAATTTATAAGGTTTACATTACATTTTATTAATATCCAGTAGCCGAATATTTAAATCATCACCGTCAGGTTAAAAGTCCAATGCTGAACATGGAGCTCTTCCATTGTGGAGTGGAGATTGACAATTGCAGTGCCAAGTACCTTGTAACCTTAATGCTGCTCGTTGTTAGGATTGTATACTTAATATCTAATACTGAGATGGATACCGCTATCTATCGGGGACTACAATATTTTTTAAGCGTTACCTTTTTATTCGTTCTTAAAACACCCGTGGGATGAGTAAAAGGTGGGATAACATTCTCCTTTAAAACCGCAGTATATATTATATACAACTTTTGCAATAAGTGTTACAATAGTCTACATCAGTCTTAAAAATAGCATTCTTTGTTTAGCCTAAAACTGTGGCTCTTATTTTTATCTTGATTATTTTTCCCAGAAGGAAGGTTTATTAAAAGATATGGAGCCTCGAGTGTTTCATTGTATAATTGGCGATGTCTCGCACATAGAAAATTCTAATGGTTAACAACAAACCTGATTTTGACTAAACCATTCCTGCATTCCTCCCCTGCTCTCTTTATTCTGCAAAATTCTTTACAAATTTCTAAGAAATATTAAGTTCGTAAGTTTCTTGCATTTTCTTAAAAATAAATTACTAGTAGATAATTATTGAGTAAAATCCTGCTTAAAGTCTACTTAAAAGCCTATTATATTTTCCTTTATTTTGTTAAATTCATTAACCGTAAAGAATTTTGCAGATATATATTTTTAATTGATTTGAGAGACTTTAAGCAAGATGTCGTGAATTGTTTATTTCAGTAGTAGTTAGAATTAGAATTTTACCTAATCTTGTTATAATAACAATGCAAGAAGATTGGTATAATAAGTAGTGTAGAAATAATTATTAATTATTCATAGCAAAAATTAAGTGACAAGTAACAAGTATTGAACTTGTATACTATGAGTATATGCAACTACATAGTTTCTTGGAATCAGCTCTATTTGGATGAAGATTTATATTTAGAAAATGTTTTACATTCCAAGTTCATCTAGATAGGTGTCGCCACATCATCCCTAAGTAAAAAAATTCTAATCCAGAACAAAGCTCCGTCGCCCGGGTACCGTAACAGTTTCTCTTTGAAATGAATGCCATAAATAATAATGCGTTAATTTCATATAACAAAAAATATCACAATATATTAAGAAGAAGTTCCACTAGACCAGAGTTTTTGTTTGACCATCACATAATAACAGGCTGTGAGGAATTCCATCTTATCCTCAGAGGTGACAACGCATCTATATGCTAAATTGTTTGAATTTGGCTGCAGGTGTCCATGAACCGCAATACCCACTTACCATCATGTCGACTGTTTTACTCTTCCATTTAGATCATAGATAACGCATTTTGTGGATGTTTTATGCAATATAATTGAAAACTAGAAATATATCCAAATTAATTATTTTATATGAATGCATTTATTATAAAAGTCCATACTTAATGCTCATTATGCTGGCACTACACAGTAGCACAACTTAAGACTAATCCTGATGAATCTAAACCTAATCCTGAGCCTACTTGTTTAAACCATGAAGCTAAAACAATATTAGACTGCTATCATGCTTGAACAATTTCATATGTGTCACGCTGCAGATATATTATGGTTGTAGCATGAATAAGTTGGCTCGACCGGAGCAGGACACGCTCCCATAGAATACCAGCGTAAATTGGCAGCTCAATGCTTCTGTGTTTCGTATGGTGAGTGTAGAGAACCGGAGAAATTTTTTTACTGGAAACGAGGCATTCTTTCCAGTCAGTCAGTTTCCATTTTAGCTCTCATTTGCGTTTTGATTCTCACACCATTAACCTAACATATTTAAAGAGGTGTAATATCTAAAAATATATAATATATTAAGGGCCGTGAATGAAGTTTTGCTTTTGTCTTCTTCTTCAACTACTTCAACTTCGCAACTAACATTTTAATTTCTTTTTATTCAATTTAAAATTGTTATTTATAAAAACTAAGCTCGTATGATTTTAAATTTCGGTTATTAAAATAAGTAAAACCGGTGGTATCTTTTTATATACAAACAGAATGATACCCAAACTAAACCCGTATTATAATACATAATTTACAAAATTACATTTTCTGTAACATATGTGTATTTTTTCCAGACTGAATGCGGGTGTCAATTTACTTCCAAGCTGGAAGGAATGTTCAAAGATATGACTGTTTCTAATACCATTATGGACGAATTTAAAGAGCATGTGCTTTCTTCAGGGGTAAATAATTTATTTTCTAAGTCGTCACATGTGACGTGATATTAAAGTATTTTAAATTTATTAATTTTAATGTTACTAACATTTAAAAAGATATTGTTTAAGTTAATAGTTATTCATTGCAGACCAATCTTCATGGTGTAGATCTATCGGTTCGTGTTTTAACCACCGGGTTTTGGCCGACTCAAAGTGCTACACCCAAATGCAATATACCTACAGCCCCAAGAAACGCATTTGAAGTTTTTAGAAGGTAAGGATGGTTTAGGTTATTTATGATGTGGTGGTGAACAAACTTGATGTTAATTACAAAGATTTCTGTTTGTAGTAGTTCAGAACAAAAAATTATAATAGTATCTAGTGTTATGATGCTCAACAAGCAAAGGGAACGTATCATCGTAATATGAAAATGGATGTGTTTTACATTTATTTTAAAACAAACTATTTGGAAAAAACTAAGAAGGAATTGATTTCTTACCTTAAACACATTAAATCAATAAAAAAAAACCATCACCAGTATTAAAGGAAATAGATTAGGAACTTTAGAATATAACTGATAAACGACCTTTTTACGTAAAATGAATAGGTCTTCAATTTTAAATTTCGCCTAAATTTTTTCCCGTATCACACATAGTTTTTAGTTATTTAAACTACGAGTCTGCGCGTTCTATCTTGGCCGGGCTGAAGATAGTCGCGAATGGCTGCGCAGTTATAGTTTTTAGGAACAAAATAATGACAAGAAACGGTGCGGACGGTAACTAATATACTAGCGATGTGAAAACGCATATTACGCGCTAAAAATTACGTAAAATACTCGATTATCGTTACTATCGATTATGATTCCATTTTATTTTATATTTCTTATAGTTAATTGCAAAGCTCCTTTTTTCATTGGTGTGTGAATGCTACACGACATGTCGTTTTAATACAATGATTATGATGTGCATTGAATATTTTATTAAAACATACATACATATACATAAACACTCACGCCTGTCACCCAGAGGGGTAGGCAGAGACTACAGACTTCCATTTGGCACGATCCTGACACACCTCTCTCGCTTCCTTCACATCCATACGCATACATGCTCGTCGGTTAAGGGTACTCCTAATTTGGCCCGTTTTCAATAAATCGCCAATTTGGTCGATAAATTTTCGCCTAGGACGTCCCTTTCCGACTCTGCCATTCACTTCTGCAACATAAATTTTCTTTGTCACTCTTTCCTCATTCATTCTTTCCACATGACCAAACCACCGAAGCATTCCTTTCTTAATCCTGGTCACAACATCATCTTGCAAACCACACTCTTCTCTTATTACACAATTTCTTACCCTGTCATTAAGATTCAGCCCTAACATACTCCTTAACGACCGCATTTCTACTGCGTTCATTCTACTCTCGTGCTTCTTCTGCCACACCCAACTTTCACTACCATACGTTAAAGTAGGGACCAACACAGCATTGTGAATTGCCATACGTGCCTTTTTCGACACATTTTGACTCTTCACAATAGATTGCAGGGCCCCATTTACTCTATTTCCCGCATTCACTCGTCGTTCTATATCCTTATCATATCTCCCATCCCTGCTAAATACGCAGCCCAAATATACAAACTCATCTACTTGCTCGATCAATTCCCCTTCTATTCTTATTTCACAAATCGTTTTACTTTCTTCTCTTTCAAAAACCATAACCTTCGTCTTACTTGCGTTCACTTTCATACCCCTTTCTTTTAATGATCTGTTCATTAATGTAACCATCATTTGCAACTCGGCCGCCGACGACGCAAGGATAACTTGATCATCTGCTTACAAAAGGCATTTGACGGTTAACTCACCCATTCTTAATCCGCATTCTTCAACTTTCAAATTTTGCAAACAACTGTCCATAAATAGGTTGAACAGCCACGGGGAAGCCACACAGCCCTGTCTGACATCTTTATGGATGTCAAACCAGTCCGAGTAGACCCCGTTGATCCTAACACAAGCACTAGAGTCCCTATAAAGAGACTCCAATGCCTGTATCAAGCCAGCGCCCAACGCAAATGACTTCAGTGTTTGCCATAGCACATCCCTATTCACTCTGTCATAGGCCTTCTCCAAGTCCATGAACGCACAAAAAACCTTTTGGTTTTTGGCCAAAAACTTCTCCGCGATCATGCGCATGGAAAAGACTTGATCTGTACATCCCATTCCCTTTCTAAATCCCGCTTGCACATCCCAAATTTTTCCATCAGTTTCTTTCATGACCCTTTCAATCAGTACCTTAGCATACAGTTTTCCCACAATGCTAAGAAGGCTGATCCCCTAGTTTTTACAGTCCTGCTGCGACCCTTTTCCCTTATATACTGGGATTATCACGGCTATGCACCAGTCTACCGGTACCCGCTTCAGTTCCCAGCGTAAATTAAACAAGGTGTGCAGCAGGCCTGCCACCACTTCCTCTCCAGCCCTTAGCATTTCGAGTGAAACTCTATCATATCCGGCAGCCTTACCTGCTTTCATGCTTTTCATTGCTTTCATTATTTCACCTATACTTATCTCGCTACCTCTTTCCTCTTCTTTCGGAATTTCTACTTCACTTAGTACACACGTTGTCTCCTCACTCATAAACACGCTTTCAAAATATTCCTTCCATCTCTTTAAACTCAAAACTTCATCATTCAGAATATAGCCATTCTCGTCTCTTATAGCATTCATCATAAGCTGTTTCGAATGTCCCCTGGTAGTTCTTACGAGTTTCCAGAACATTTTAATATTTGCCTGAAAGTTATCCGATATTCTTCTATCATTCTTATCCGTTCTTTCTTGCTTTTTCCTTTCAACTACTTCTTTTACTCTGTTATTAAGATGTCTAAAGATTGCCTTTTATCTTTCAATATCATCATTTGTACCACTAGAATTACCAGCCTTTGTTGCTAGTAAATCTAGCCATGCTCTCTTCTTTGCTTCAACTTCCATATGTATCACATCATCCCACCATAACGTATTATTTTTCCTTTCATTCTTTCTATTAAAACATTTAATTTTGTTTAGGGTTACTGAAAGGAATTATTGTCCCTGCCAATAAATTATAAATTGTGTACTATATATTCAAACCTGTGATCGTAATTCTACAAATCACAACCCCTTCGTATGGTGAGTGTAGAGAAGTCCCTTTTACACCCATAGCCCCTTTATTTAATTTTTCCACTTTCACACAATTAATGATTATTTAAATGCCAATTTATGTCACTTAAACGAAATTAAATCTTGTACGTCCAAGTCGGATTTGAATATTGTACATCCGATACGGACGGAAATAGTGATACTTATATGTAATATAGGTAATAAGGTCTTTTGTAACCTATATATATTCCACAATAAATGTATGTGATTTGATATGAAAGCTAAAACACTTCAACTACTAAAAATACACAAATTGAAACCATGGAATTTGCATCGTCCATTGAAGTATTTTTTATTTTATTGTTTTTAGGAATACATAGAGTTATTTACAATCAATTGTTTTATACATTTATGTAAAAATTAACTATTACAAATTAGTCACGTGTAGATAAATGTGTAGAGTCGCATGCTAAGAAAGTTTGTGATAAAATCAGGCAACTGTTATCTTTTAACTTAATCTAGCATGAAAATAGACTGTAACCTAGTATGTATCCTCATATCAAGAAACTGCGTAGTCAAAAATCGCTTTTATTTAATAATACTATTAAATAATATATTCCCTTTAGTGCTCTGTCTATTTCACTCATTGAATTAAAAAGCGTGCAAATGCGAACGTACAATCTTCATACGTACCCATGAACATACAATCTAAGCTTACTTGTGGTATTGGTGCTGCGTGGAACAGCGAATTTAGTGTTTCAAAAGTTCATGCGACTCTACTGTCCCGTTTGCTATCTTTAAATAGTATGCTATGTCTAACGCTCCTTCGAATTCATAAGGGAAGTAAGTGATATCTTATGCAACGCGCCTATATGTACTGTCATAAACTTGGGTTTTATAATCTAAATATTTCAAAATTTTATTTTGAATTGACTTCAGAGTTCTTTTTTATATTATTCAAATTTTATATTTAAGATCAAATATAAAAGTAAGGACATACCGTAATTAGTGTTTTTGAAAATACCGAGTAAATAAGGTTTTATATTTTTTGGAAACTATCCCAAATTTAATGTGATTTATGGGCAACAACTACGCGTATGCGTAAATTTGTCCTATGTATGCGTAAATTGATTCTTACGAATGTGTGCGTGCGTAGTAAAATAGTAAGCGTTAGATACTTATGAATGACATTTAGTTAATATAGTGCATCACCACGCACTCAGTTTAAAAGTTAAAAAGAACAGGTTTCTTTTTCACTATTCGCGTATAATATTTATTCTGAAACTTCCCTGCTAATTCGGGTGTATATTACAGTTTTTTCGTTTTTAAAATTTTTCGAGCGTGACCTTATATGAAAACCTAAATCTCTAGAAGCCCCACTCGCAATATATTCAATATGTTCATCAAATAAGAGGTTGTTAGAAAAAATATATTTGACACAATTTGTGTTGCAGCTTCTACCTAGCGAAGCACTCGGGACGTCAGCTGTCGCTGCAGCCGCAGCTGGGCAGCGCGGACCTACACGCCACGTTCCGCGCGGTGGGCGCGGGCGCGGGCGCGTCGCCGCCGCGCTCCCCCCCCCCGCATCCGCACGCTGCGTCCTCCACCCCCTCCACTGCCCCCGCCCCCTCCACCGCCTCTACGCCCGCGCTCGCACCCGCCCCTGCTGCCTCCGCCGCCGCGCCCCGCAAGCACATCATACAAGTATCCACCTTCCAGATGTGCGTTCTGCTGCTGTTTAATAAGCGCGAGCGGCTCACTTATGAGGTACGCTAAATTTACAAATACGAACTGAATATTGAAAAGTTTTCGAAATTGTAATATGACAATTAATGCCCTATTCTTCTCTGAAAAGGTTTTATTTTCTGACTCAATGTAGATTTGACGTTCATGAGAGCTTTAAACAAGCCTAAACTGACTTAGAGTAAAATTTTCTGTGCAAAACTTGTTATGTACATTGTAATATATTCTTTTGCATAATATAATTTAAACCGACTCCAGAATATATCTATTTAGTATGATCAGTAGATGCAATATTATAATGTCTTGGGCCTGCTGGTTTCTTAATAATATAATTTATTACGACAAGTAATTATATAATTAATTGTTGGAAACGTGAAATAAAAGAACTTTTTTTCCAAATATCTACCTCACCAGGCAACCTGATGGTTGGATAAATAAAAAAAAATATATTTTCTTTAAAATCAATCAAAAATGATCACATATAATACTAAACATAAAACACAGACATATCTATATTGGATAAACTTAGAATATATTCTGTATATCTAGAAATTCGGAACTTCGTTACTTACGGCTTTTATACATCTCAATAAATTAAGCAATTTAAAACCTCTACAATCTGGAAGGTGAGGTTAATTTCATTAAAAGCATTTGTATTAAATAATGGTATGAACATGCTCTCTTTCTTTTAAGGAAATACTCAATGAGACTGACATTCCCGAAAAAGACCTCGTACGTGCCTTGCAATCTTTAGCCATGGGAAAACCGACACAACGAGTGCTTATCAAGCATCCGAAGACTAAGGAGATAGAACCTTCTCATCAGTTCTATGTTAATGATGCCTTCACTTCTAAGTTACATAGGTAAGTGAATGTTGAACTAAACAATATACTGTAGTGTATTGCGCTATGGCATTTGGCCACGACGTAAAGAGTCCATGACCGCCTTTCTTCCCACAGGTGTCATAAAAGGCGATTACAAAAGCTAAAAAATGTCATGATTTTTAATAGATAACTATATAACCATCTTGTTTATGCCACATGTAAGATACCGACACCGATGTGGAACATTATTTAGAAATAGTTATCATTAGTTATTATCGTCAATCCGACTACCAAAAGTAATGATTAAAGGAGAAAATCTTCCCTATAATATACATATGTCTAAAATATGTGGCGTTTGGCTGATCTGGCCGTGTAGTGGCGACGTAAGAGAATCGACTGGACTGTCATCCTATGGGTGTTGTTACATAACATGGGAACAGTGAAACAGGATATGGGCAGCAGTATTTTACTGTTAAGTCGCCTCTACACGTTGGCCAACACACTAGTGGCGAATATATTGGCCGAGAGTTGGTGACGGCGTCCACACGTTGGAAGGTCGTTCAGTTTACTTCGGTTCGGGCCGATGTGCGGACGAATTTATTTTATTTTAGACGACGGCTTCGTGGCGCAGTGGCTTGGCAATGAGTGGCTGTGCCAGGGGTCGCGGGTTTGTATCCCGCACGGAACAAGTATTTGTATATCCTACAAATAATTGTTTCGGGTCTGGATGTGTGTCCTTGTGCAATTTATGTTTGTAAGTAGCCTCCGCGACGCAGGAGAAAATCCAAGTGTGGGGGGTAACGTTTATTTATAAAAGAATAGTGAATATTAATGGGGCTACAAATAGATATACGATATACGATTAGCTTTATTTATTCTTTACATGCATCATAAACTGGAATAAATACCATTAATTAGAACTTAACTTATTTTAAAGTTAAAGGAATTATAATCGATTAGTCTATGTTTTAAAATAGGGTTTTGTTTTTAGCAAAACATGTACTTGCTTTTCTATCAGACATTTGATGTATATAAAAAAACACCTTATAATTTATTTGGTAATTTAATTATTTTTTGAGAAAGACAAAAACAATAGCAATAAATATAATTGACACTGACTTAATAATAGGTACTAATTATAACTTAGAACATAAATGAAAAACTCATGACAAGGAAAGTGGCTCAGGACCATGCTTTGCGGCATTCTGTGGAGGAGGATGTTCAGTAGTGGACTTGTGAAGAGCTGTAATGATGATGATGATTCGAAAACTTGCACGATTAAATTATAAGAAATCGACGCTTTTTTATATAGGATAAGGTGACAAACAAGCACACAGTCCACCTGATGGTAAGTGGATGCTGTGGCCCACAGACATCTACATCTATCCTCGATTACGAATCAAAATGCAGATGTGTTGTCACCCGTGAGGACTAAGATGAAATGCCTCGTTTCCTTTAAAAAGTGTCTCTGGTTCTCTACACTCACTATACGAAACACAGCATCATTAAGCTACTATTTTACATTGATATTCTGTGAGAGCGTGGTCCTTCCCTGATCGAACCGACCCATTCGTGCTACAACTATACTTCTAATATAACTGCATGGTTCTACCATGTATAAACGACGTGCTTCATTTTTTTTTTCATTTTAAAATTGTTCTCGTAATAATCTGATTGTAAATAAATGTTCATTATTTTTTTTATAAATAGCTTATCGATTAAAACAAATGTTTAAAAATAATTAAATCGCACTAATTAAAGTAGTAGGAATGTTTAAAGTTGAAATTGGCACTAAAAGGCTGGTAATTGGGTCATCCACCCTACAAAGCGTGAATATAAAATTTTAATCAGATGCGTATAAACACTCTGGGAGCTTGTAGCAAACTAAACTCGCGGCCAACGTGTGGACGCGGCGACCAAACTTTGCCAACAATCCTTTGATCTTTTGTAAAAAACCGACACCACACGGATCTCGCGCCAACTTGCGGGCCATCGTTCCAATACATACCAATGAAGCCCATAAAAAATATTTTTTAAACACCCCGTCTACACGTTGCCCAATGCTATTGGCCACTACATTCACCACTGTGTTGGCCAACGTGTAGAGGCGCCGTTAGATCAAAAATAATAAAAAACTAGTTGCCAACCCACGTACCGAGCATAGCAACTTAGACGAAAACCTCTTATGAGGCTATCTATGAGGGAGGCCTATGTTCAGCAGTTAAATATTGACAGGCTGTAATGAATGAATGAATGTGGTCCAGGAGTGGATATTTACAGGTAGATGAAAAGTAGGAGTTGATAACAATAGTACTGAAAACAATTTGCGCTTAACAATACTAAGTGCTCGCTGTAAATTTCACAGTACACTAGCAAACCAGGTTCGATCCCCGCCGGCCCCAATGCCATAGTAATTTTAAGTGCTGATTTACCACAACCTTGTCAGTTAAGTAAACATCGTGAGGACAACTGCATGTCTGAAAAAAAATATATTTCAAGTGAAGTTCGTAAACACGCATTGTGCAGCACGGTGGACATTTCCTTTCCCTAAAACCTTCTCAGAGATGAGAGGAGGCTTGTGCCCAGCAGTGGGACGTCTATAGGCTGTAAATTTAAGTCTAAGACTTGATAGCAATGCATGAGAATTATAGAATTATAAGATACCCAAAGCAAGTGCTCAAATATTGCCTTCACTTTATAATGCATGTGAATGGCAGTCCTCATAACTTATGCCACTAGCTATAACTTCAAAATGCAATTACTAATCAGCACATGTAAGATACATACCAAAATAACATTCTGGATGTAAAAAGGAATTTATGGCTTTTTTAATATTGTTATGCAGCATCACAGTTACTGCCTGATAGCGAAAAATCCAAATTAAAAAATGCCCAACCAAAATCTTACAGAGTAGCTTTTGGGAAGCATTAACAAATCAGCTACTACCTACTAAGCATGTCCAGGTCCAATAGATCTTAAAAGACATGATGAATAAAGTTATAGTATAAGCACAGTAAAACTGACTATTTTTCTTTATCATGCTGGTTTTATTAAAGATATCTATTTTGTAATAAATATTTTAATTACAGAGTTAAGATCCAAACAGTAGCAGCTAAGGGTGAATCGGAGCCAGAACGACGCGAGACTCGCAACAAAGTAGACGAAGATCGCAAGCATGAAATTGAAGCTGCCATCGTGCGTATTATGAAGGCTCGGAAGAGGATGGCGGTATGTCAAATAACTGAAAACTTAATTATGTACACGGACCATAACTTTGTAAAGTAATTACTGCAACACAGCTTTTACTATATACCTTGATATTTGAAAACGAGTGATAGTGTTACATAGTCTAATAGCAAAGTGAATGCTGTGTTAGAAAATGCCAAGACTTACAGTGAAATGTCACATAACACTATTATACTTAAACAGTTTTAGTCTTAAAATTAGGGAATGCTTAAAGTTACTCTATCACTTCATTAAATGACAATAGAAAGAGGTGGGTATAGAGAAGATATTCATTGTACAAAAATCATACAATACATCAAAGAGAAGTTAGTAAGACCGAAACTAATGAATAAACAGTCAGTAAAACAAAGACATTAATCCGTTAGGTAATTGAACAGATGGCTCAAGTGAGCAAACTGCCTGCATATTGCATTCATAATCACCATAACTCAAAAATTTTGTAAGTCAGTGTGCTTCTATAGTCTGGTAGTCATGCACGTAGAATTTCATACAATTGACATTTTAAGGTAACGGGTAATAAATCTAAAGTATTGCGAAGTAATCGAGAGAAAAAATATATTTGTTATGCTTTTTATTTAGTAGATAATCCGAATCTATGTATATTTATATATACATAAAGTGAGACTTCTTTTCTCCGCGGAGATACAAACGTCTTGAATGGACTTGAGGATAGTACTACTTCCATTGTATAATTTTAATAATCATAGACATTAATAAAAAAAAACTTAGTAATAATTATTACAAGATAAAAACAACGAATATACATAGCAGTTAACAAAAAACAAAGAACTATTTAATTGCGTCTGTGAACTGAGTAATTACCAGCTTCAATCATCTCAATCTGAGTATTATTAAAAATCTAGTTTAAAAATTGCAATAAAACAAACACTTTTATAATAACATGAATATTCACGTTATCGTGATGATTATGGCCTGGGTAAGAGTGTTAAGTTCTTACATAAAATGAAGGGTACAGGGGCAAAACAAGGAATGTCACTTAAACAGGTTTTTGTGTAATTAACACTTTAATGTTTAAAAGTTTATAACTTTGTCTTACTTATTAATTGTTTAGAAACTACTGATAGGAACTTTAGCTTACGGAGATTAGCTGTGGTTACAAATAAACTGTTGGCGAATATTAACAAATGTGTAAAATTTGAAAAAAAAGTAAGTAATTTTTATGAAGTACTAAAACATGGAATGTCCTGTATAACCCGTACAGGGAATGTCCAAATCTAGTATGCTATATGTGAGTAATGCCTTCAATATAGGCTCGTCCTTCAACAGAACAAAATATTTTTAATAGACATGTGTAAATCACTCATTACTAGCGACCGAATCATTCTAGTACATTTCGTCACGCGTACTGGTACATTCGGATCGATCATTCAAATGGATCATTTCAGGCTCCAGTACTCTGTGAGTCTGTGAGATCCATTGAGAAGCGAAAATTTTCTATTTGAGATTTGTAATAGCGCCATCTACTACATGTTATAGGTAATAAAGTCATTTTATCGAACTAAAACTTATAAACTTTCAAGGTGGTAAGAACAATCGACGCTAGATGACATAAACACAAAAACCTCAAGTTATCGTATATTTTAAGTATTTAATAAATTTGTTTATTTTTAAATTTCATTCCTAATAATCTAACAATACACAATTTCATCTTACATTACATGTCTAAAAATAGGGACTGTAACATTTATTTGCTACGAAATTAAACTTTTACCTAACTTATACTTATATAAGATGGTTGAAAATTATCTATAAATAAATCATTTATCATGAAATCTTTTGAAGTGTTATTTTTAGTAAACTCTAAGGAATTATATTTTTAACTCATAGATTTAACAAATAAATATAAGAAAACGTAAAATAGTTTTTAATTTAGGTAACAATATTATAATAAAAAAAACCCTTAAATAATAAATACTCCTGTTACTCTGCAGTTTCCGTATATATTCTCCGCTAGGAGTAATGGTGATCTGTGTATATATTACTCTACTCTACTCCATGATCTGCAGTCTGCACAGTTAATTCAATTCGCTTGTTTATTCAGATCATTCGGGATTCGGTCGGTTTGCGGCTCATTCACAACAAACAATTCAATTTGATTCAATTCAAACAAAACAATTCAAACAAATCGGGGGGTAAAAACGTACCGTCAATTGTTTGTGATTGGTTGTACTGGTACATTCAAAAACAAATGAATGAACCATCAATACTTTTAAGTGTACCAGCTCAAACGAACGAATCATGCATGATTGACACATGTCTAATTTTTAAATCCATAAGGTCCTTGTACTTGTCAGCACTAATTGGCAAGTAATTTTGGTAGTCAAGTCTAGGCAATTCACATTCGTTGCTACATTCTGGTTGATTCACTGTTTTCTTATTCAACATGGATGATTTTGTATTCATTTTTTTCCCAAATCGACTGAAAAATGTAAATCTGAACTACACCGACAAGTAGGGTTGCCACCACGTGTACATATATATATATATATATATATATATATATATATATATATATATATATATATAATAAGTATACTATATATCAGTCAATTGTACTATATATTATAGAAAAATAATATAGTACGATAAATGCTATATTTTTATCGCAAATTAAACTGTCGCTTTTTAATATTCACCGTGATTGGAAGTCTGGAACAAGTATGTTTTACGGAAATAATTTTTTCCATCATGAATTTAAAATTGAAAGAAAAAAAGAAAGAGTATGTATTATTTAATTATAAAATAGTTTTTAATTTATTTTAATATGAATCTAAATTGCTCAGACTCTCATTATTATTTTAAAAGTAAGGTATGGCCAAAACAATAAGCAATATCAAATAAATATGGAAAAATACATTATTATTTGTATTGAGTACATACAGACATAAAGATTAAAAAAAGTGTACTAGTAAAAATTGCAATTTCCCAAAAATACTATATTTTTGCATCCTTTTTGGAAAAGATAACATATCTGACATCACAGAGTACATATACAAGAAATTTGTATATACAAGAAATCTGACATTAACCGTTGGACATTCCATATCACGTTCCCTTTAACCAGAGTCATTCCCACTTTTGCACATGTACAAGGTTTTGAAATATTGAAGATATGAGGGATTACAATTGTTTTTGTGCTTTTTACATAATGCTACATAGAAACACGCGCGTAAACCTAAGTGTTGCTTTACTTAATGTATATTTGAACTTTTTGTGACATTCCTTGTTTTGTCCTTATACCCTTCAAATAAAGTGCGCGGTTCCGTATTAACATATACGAGTACGTTTAGAGGACTCGTAAATTATACATATCGTTCCGTGGATGTCGTTAGAGGCGACCGAGGAAAATAACATAGGAGATGGACAGGAGTGTCTCCTTACTAATAACTAGAAAATAAAAACAACTCTGGTTGCCAACCCGCCTGCCAAGCGTGCCAACTATAGCTAATATCCCGTTATGAGAATGCAATAGATTGATAGATCGTACTGATGAATGATGATACATACTAAGTAAAAATGATAAGATGTTGGGGGTTGGTATATTGTGTAATGGCGTGGTGCGTGCTGGCGTGCAGCACACGCTGCTGGTGGCCGAGGTGACGGAGCAGCTGCGCGCGCGCTTCCTGCCGTCGCCGGTCGTTATCAAGAAGCGCATCGAGGGGCTCATCGAGCGCGAGTACCTGGCGCGCACGCCCGACGACCGCAAGGTCTACACCTACGTCGCATAGGTGCGTGTCCACACCGCACCACACAACACCACACACTTATACAATCCGCTTTAGTTAATCTCAAACACGCTCCTCTAAAATTAATGTTTTTTTTTTGTTAAGAAATAATATCTTAGTTATTAATAAAGTACAGATTGAAATAATCTATGTAAAAATATTGTATATATATGAAGGCGGCTTTAGTCTCATCCTTTTAATGTATCATAAAAGTGTTCCTCATAATTTCTTAGAATTAGTTACATTGGATTAAATATTTCTTTTATAATAAAATGTTTTATTGTAATAATACAACCTGTGTGAGAATTCACGATCACATTGATTATATAAATATGTGGAGAGCCTAAAATGGGTTTTATTTTCAGGCCATCAGCATCGAGACCCAAGTCCATGATGGGTGGATGCAAAGTTAAAGTGATAGAAGTTAACAAAAGTATTTATTTCAAAATAAAAATTATTCGTTATATTCGACAGTTATTTTATTTGGCGAACAGTGCAAAGACACAATAGTTGATTAAGAATATATTTGCCTTAAATGAAAAACATTCTTTATTCGAAGGAAAAGGAAAAAAGAAATCCTTTGGTAAATTGAGATTCAAATGCGGAGGTCCAGCATACTCATGCTGCATCCAATTATTTACATTAATAAAATTAATATCAACTGTAATCACAGCCGATAGTTCTTGTGAGTTAATGCTAAATGTTACATTAGTTGCAGAACCATCTACTTTAGCACTTAATAATTTATTTTCCTCTCGACCAATACTATTACTTAAAACAGCATAAGTGAAAATAAAAGCAACCCGCGTCTGCAAGTTGTAACATTGTATTTTAGAACTTTTAGTATATAATTGGCCATAAATAAACTGGTTTTGCAGTTGAATGGGTAACCAATCGTCATCCTTAACATTATTTGGGTTTCCATACGGTGATACATAGACTTTATTTTGGACACTTAACATCTTGTTGATGTAAGTCTGTACATTTAAGCACGCTTCTGTAGCATTTGACGTAGGAATATATCGTATCGAAATTTTGCATTTCATTCTTTTGTTTAAACCAAACAGTAAAACTTTCTTCGTAATTTTCGTTTTTACACACAAACCATCCTTGTTATCAGGATATGTCAAATAATAATTTTGGCGATCGTTATTTAAAAACTTATTAGTGTGATTGCTTTCCGTAAATGACGTTATCAAAGGCAAACCTGTAATGTAACCTGGAGTTCCACTTAATTTTATTGTTCTCTCTGATGAAGTATTACCCATGTAAAATTTAACAGTTATTTTTTGCGTCGTATATTGTATGGCGATTGGTATATCTTTAGCAAATAGTTTTACAGTCGCATTAACAATTTTTGAGTCGTAAACATAGAAATCATATTCTATTCTAAGGGCAATATTTTTGCAAAAGCTTTCTGTGCACATTGGTTCATGCAAGGTTTTATTGAAATCCAAACAATGATCTTCATCACAATAAATTATTGTCCAGTTAGTGCACTGAATATTGGAGCAATTCTGCAAACGAAATTGTATTGTTTTACAACAAAATATTCAGTAACGAAGTAGTAAAATATAATCGTGGATTATATACCATTGCAGTACTGTTCAAGGAATTATTTGCGACACTTATTACTTTCGATTCATCTATAGTTCCTAAAATACGAAACATTTCTAGTTCCTTTAATTTCACAAGACATTGTATGTCATCATTCTGTAAAAATTTTATTGGACGTCTGATGCTGCAATAGTAGTTTATAGAAGAAGCAGGCAAATCTGTAAAAATAGTTACATGAAATTATTAAAGTAGTTCGTTTTTGTGAATGGACAAGGTTCAAATTGATCTAGTCCGACTAGGAAAATAGAAAATACGTGAATTTCATGATGTCCAAAAGAAAAGACAGTTGTTAAAGAGTCTCAAAAGTAATTACGTAATTTTGAGACTCTTTAAACAAATGGCATGCATCGTTACCCCTCAGAACTACGTGGGGTACACTGAAAGTTTTGCGTAACTCCTAAAAAAACAAGTTATATTACATTATAAATGTACTGCTTTTCAAAGTATTCTCAGATTTAAGCACTTTTTCATTCGTTAAAACTATTTTTGAATACAAGGAACCACTGGTCTGAGGGAATGTTTTTCACATGCTGGTTGAAAGCTATGATAGCCTTTCTGGCTCCTCTCATCAAATATTTTTGGGAAATCAAGATCGCGCGTAACGAATTCTAAGTCTATAAACAATTGATGTCGAACAGGAAGGGCTTTAGATTAACTATATTGAAATGGGGGGAGGGTGGGGGGGACAGAGGAGACACATAGAATACTATATATATACATACATAATAGAACGGGGGAGTGGGCGGAGCCCGTGTAGCCACTAACATGTCACTAACACGTCAATTCACACCTATATAAAAGTCAACACAATTAATCGTTTCCAATTTTTGTATCAAGCGTGGCCATACATATTTTTATTTTTTTTTTTATTTAGTTAATTTACACATAACTTAAACTAAATACATTAAGTGACAGTGTGACATAAACCAGCATTGGTTTTACCGCACACTGCGATTCGACATCTGTCGCTCGAACAGAACTAAGTAATAGGTATTCATTCTTAACTACCTACTTACACATCAATTGCGCGATGTGATTACTGCGCACGCTATTTGACCAATCAACACGCATAACACATATTATGCACCTCTAACTCCAAAAGCCAAAGTAACTCGTTTGGGTTTGTAGATTCACACGGATGACATTGTTTGTACAATTTTTTTTTTAATATTTTACGCTAGTAATGCTAAAGATAAGTAGTGCTGTTTAAGTTTATTTTTGATGTTTACTTTAGTAATTTGGCCTTTAACTGTTGTAGGTAACTCGTTTATCAATTTTGGTATTAGGTATTGTAACATTGCTTTTCCGTATAAATTTTTATAGCTCGGTAAATTAAGAATTGCATTAGAGGCACTTCTTGTTTTACTGCTGCGGTAGGTAAATGTTTTAAAACTGTCAGTAAAGAAATGATCGCAGAGCAGTATATATTTCACTTTGTCGTATATAGGTATGGTGTTGCAGTGATAAAAAAGTTGGTGGTAATTATTTTTGTATTTGTTTTTTATATTCGTAGGCACGATGGTTTTTAAAAGTCTGACTTGGAGATTATATATTTGATCAAGATGTGATTTGCTAGTTCTGCCATAACTACTAAGACCATAATGTATAGTGGTCTCCACCAAGGCCTTGTATAAAAGTAAGAGCGTGGGAAAGGGAATTTTATTCTTAATAAGTCCGAATTTAGCCAGCATTGCACGTACTTTATCACAAACATGGTTTATATGTTCTGTCCATTTAAGACGATTATCGATTACTAACCCTAGGTACTTTTGTTTGTTGATAATCTCCACAGGAGCACAAGAACAGTTAGCCAAATCGCTATGAAGACAGTTATGGTTATGCGCGATTAGTTTGAGGCTATAGGGTTTTCTATTTTGACTTGAGCTTACGTACATGAGTTTCGTTTTGTCCGCATTAAGAACAAGGCCTGCATCGTGCGACCATTTTGTCAATTGCGTAAAGTCACTTTGTAGTTTTTTAAGAGCAAGATTAATATCCCTGTCTGCGGCTACAAGACACGTGTCATCAGCGAATTGGTATATTTCACAGTTTTTGACAATATTAACTACATCGTTGACGTACGTGATATAGTGGAGTGGTCCAAGTACCGAGCCTTGTGCCGTTCCTTCAGAAGTTTTAATTTTCATACTGAGAGTGTTCCTGATCTTTACCACAAATGACCTATCCTCAAGATAGTTCTTACACCATTTGTTCAGAGGGCCTTGTATCCCACAGTCGTTTAACTTCGCAAGTAGGGTATCATGATTTAATGTATCAAAGGCCTTACTGTAATCTATGAATACTATAAGAATATGTTTTTTGTCATTAAGGTGCTTGTATATTCTGTCAGTGAATTGGGATAGAAGCTGTGTTGTACTCTTTTTTGGTTGAAATCCGTATTGTTTGTTAGTGATAATGTTATTATTTGTATAAAACGTCTGAATTTGTTTCGCAATGGCTTTTTCAACTATTTTGTCAATAGCGGAGAGAATAGTTATTGGGCGATAGTTTTCATAGATGTTATGGCTTCCTTTTTTGTGTATTGGCCTAACTATTCCCGTTTTCAACTCATTAGGATACTTACCTTGTCTAACGGTTTCGTTTATAAAATGAGCAATGACGTCAGCTATTTTAATCCCAATGGTCTTTAGGTCCTGCGCTCTAATCTTATCAATTCCCGGTGCCTTAGTGCTATTTATGGACTTTATTTCTTTGAGAGTTGATTTTGCTGTCAATTTTTGAAAGCGACAAGATACTTTAGGAACATCTGCATAAGTTTCCCTATCTAAAAGCTTTATATTACATTTTGGCATATTTTTAACACTATTTTTAAAACATAAAGCAAAGTTGTTGGTCAAATCATAAATCGAGGTATTATTTTTTTCGAGTGCATTGGTAATAATCGTATCAGCCAATATTTTTGTCCTTCCAGTGAGTTCATTTAATATTTGCCACAGTACTCTGGGGTTGTTTTTATAGTTTGTGATGTCTTGACGTAGTTTTTGATTTTTACACTTCCAGATTAATTTATTTGCAAAATTCCTTGATGTGTTATATTGCAGTTTTAAAATTTTATTGGATGGGTCGGCTATCCATTTTTTAAATAATTTATCCCGGTATTCACAAGCTTTTAAGATCTTATTATTTATCCATTTGTTATTATGACGATTTTTATTATTTGATGTTTTTATTTTAACAGTTGAGTTTTCGTAACATTTGTGTATGTTATTAATTATAAGTTCATATATTTTGTATGGACATATAGTTTGCTTGGCAGGCTTCCAATCTATTTCGTTTAGACTTTTTATTAGTTTTTTATTGTCGTAGCGTATGATATACTTAGAATCCTCCCGTGTGAATCGATTCATTATAGCGGTAACTGCAAGCGCAACAGCGCGGTGATCGGCCAGAGCAGTTCCCAGTGCCGCCGTGTACACGTCTAGTGAGCGGGATCGTGCGTATATGTGGTCTATGCAAGATTTACTAAGTCCATTTTTTGTTAACTCAATGCGTGTGTACTCGTTGATTCCGCACACTAGACCATGGGTGTACATAGTAGTGTTATAAATTTCTTTAATGGGCCTACTTGAGCGTAGATCTATGTTGATATCACCTAAGATATACAGGTCTTCTAGTCGTGGAACTTTACATAATAGTGTGTCAAGTTCCTTAACAAACAGGTGCTTACTGCTACCGGGTGGACGATAGATGCAACACAGGACAGCGGAATAGCGTGTAGGCGTGTATATTGTTCCTAATAAGCTTTCGCAGTGTTGTGTTTTGTAATGTTTAATTTTAAATTTGTGTTTATTATTTATGTAGATAATTACGCCACCGCCTTTTTTGGCCTTTTCGCAGTCCTGTGTGCATCACATAGCCTTTTATTTGGTATATGTTACTGAGTGAATCAGAAATATTAACTTCCGTTAACATAATTACATCAATAACCATAGATGAAGACATAATACATTGCTCAAGTGAATCAAAGTTTTTTATGACAGATCTTATATTCATATGTATGCAGAGGAGTTCTATGTTATAAGGGATTTTATCTAAAAATGTGTTTATGTCTACACAGTCTGTAAGTTGATATACATCTTCAGGTGTGGTATCCATAGTAGTGTTCGAAGAAACGATATTATATAGTAAACAGAGAAGCGAAAAAAAAAAAAAAAAACAGGCTCAATACACAAATTTAGGAGGTACTCAGCTTAACTCTTTTACATCATCCGCTGAACGTATTATAATTGGTTTCTGGCTTTCTCCTGCCCGGCGTACACGCAGAACACCTTTCTTAATCCATATGTACCGAAATGAGTTCTTAAGCTCCTGTTTGGCATAGTACAGTAGTTGCTTGTTGTATTGCGTTAGGGCTTCGCATATGAATACTGCTGTATTTACATTTAAAGAGTGGTTGTGTGAGCATATTTCTTGAGCTGTAATTCTGGGGCTTATCGATTTCGAAGCAGCTAGCCATGCTAATTGTGTTTGCTCACTATTCAGTTCAATCATGACCGGTCCTGGTCGATCATTTTTACTGGGCAGTCGTTTCATTTGCTTAACATTGCATGCATTTTGATTAAGCCTTATTGCCACTTTACCTACAATTTCTGGTAGGTTCTCGTTTTCAATGTACGGGATATTGTGGATTTCAATGTTTTTATGTAGCCTTTGTTGTTCTATTTCTTGAATGCGCTGTTCTAGCGCACCTACCCGCGTTTCTAGGTTATTATTTTTATTGGTAAGTTCTGTGTTTTTCTTTTGTAGATTAGAAATATTGTCTTGCATAATTTCTATGTTTTTAAGCAGTTCGTCCATTTTATCTGATTGAAATTGGAGTGATTGAGTGAGGTCTTTCATTTCCTTTTTTATGGCTCTTTCTACCTCTTTAGATATATCACCCAGCAGTTTTTTAACGTCGATCTGTATAGTGGGAGACTCAGAGTAATGTTCGTCGTCTTCGTCATCATTAGGAATCACTATTGAGCTACGTCGGGGTGTCTTTTCTTGGCAGTCTTGACAATTCCACTCTAGGTTTTCGGAAGCCTTCAGTGCAGCCAGTTGCTTATTGGTAAGTCCAGTGCATTGATTGTTAAGATGAACTAGTTTTTCGCAGCGATTGCATTCTAGGCCCGGTTTAGATTTCGTAATGTTTTTGCTGCAGTAATCACATTTGTTCAACATATTGGGTTTTAGAAGGTAGTTATCGCATACAAGATAAACTTCAAAAAAATATGCAAATTGTGCATTAATTACGTGTCGAAAGAACACCGGGAAATGGAATTTAAGTAATGGAGACATATTCTACAACTAGTAAGTCGAAACTATTTATATTTTGTGAATATTAGAAACAAGAATAAAGAAATATTGATGTGTCAAAAACATTATTCAAGGGTCTAAAATGTGTAAATTCGAGTATCGGGTTTGTAGTAGTGATAATACGACATAATTGCTTGTGTGCTCCCGGCGACACCGATCCTCGTACAAAATAAGGTTGGCAGCCATTTTATAGTGTATTATAGTATTCTATGGAGGAGAAGCACACACTCCATTCCGAACCCTCTTGGAAATACATATATTTTTAATACATTTTTCAAAATTTCGCAATTAAATAGCAATTTAAAGCATTTTAGTACATTTTTTTTAACAGAAGAGGGAGAGAGAAGGAGTAACCTTCCCCCTCATTGTTTCCAAACCAGATTTTAGGAATAGCTGTTTTTCCTTGGCAAGCACAGGGGTCACCTCAGCCGTAACTCAACTTATTGTCGTTTATATTGCTTTCCTTTTTTTTTAGGATCATGTACATGTCTGATCTAGTTATGCTACCTTGTAAAAAGCTAGTATCTATCCAAAAAAAACAAAACTCTGTTTAATAGATTGGCAATAAACGTTTTATATAATATTAAACACATTTTTACAAAATACTCCTGGTCAAAAGTTATTTTTGACCAGGTCATAATTGTAACCAATATTCGAGGGGTGGCTAATAAGTCCACTGCCCGAGGTACTTAGCAATGACTCAGTATCTCACTTGTGTTTGCTTTAATAGGGACACTTCTTGGTAGTATGAATATAATGTTTTTCCGATAATAAGGTCATTAGCAAATTATCTGTCGAGCAAACGTCATCATGTCAGCTGATTCGTCAAATTTCAGTAATATTAATTACTGCGCTATAATAGTCCGTAAAAGAAAGGAAAAACGCTAGAACAAAATTTTCGAAGACATGTCATTAGTTCTACAGGAATGTGCGCCTTCGTCAATAGCATGGTCAAAAATGGGCTGCTTATTACAAGAAGGACGAGAGAGCTGTGGAGATGATCCTTGCGTCCTGTGACGGTAGTGACGGAGGGGAAATGTTCGAAAAGTCGAAAAATTAGTACTGGCCGGTATGAAGAATAAAATTATGGCAGGTAACTGATGAGTTAAAAGTTACAGCCTACAACGTCCCATTCCTGGACACAGGACTGCACCCCCCTTTTTGAGAAGGTTTTAAGGCTAGGAAAACGCCGCGCTGCCCCAATGCGTGTTGATGGATTTCACGTCTTCGAAATACTTTTTTAATTTCTAAGACATGTCGGGGTTTCCTCACGATGTTTTCCTTCAGCGTAAATCACGTGATGATTCAGCCGAAGAGTTGCAGATTAGCAAAGAATGGGTTGGCGCAGTATTGTGTTTACAGTAGTCATTTAAAGTCAGTCACCCAATCTGGATTTTCATCATTATCATCACCAACAACTGTCGCAATAACTTGGTTGCCACAGCCTCAATTGTTAATTAAAAAAGTGCATGCATGCATTGTGAGGCTTATACTTAGTGAAAATATTTGGATAAAAATACAAAGAAACCTATTATTTTAAATACCGTAAAAAACCTTAAATAAACAAAGAACATGTATACTTACTTCTTAAAAACAGGGACAAATCAATAATTCTTAGTTTCTATTAATTGCCATAGCAATGTATTTTACGTACCAATATGATAAATTGATGTATTCTTGAGTAGCCAAACAGGGTCACCAGTTTTATACAACTTTTTTGTAAACTTATAAGGTTCTACATCTTTCCAATGATTATTACCATGCCATATAAACGTGTCATTAATTACTCTTTCAACAAACTGAAACTATACACATAAACTTGTTGAAAATTAATTAGCTATTTCGATAATATTTATTAGAAGTAAACTCGGCGTTGTTAAGTTCCAAAAAATTACCGATTGAATGTTTTTATTGTAAGTAATATGTATGTATTTTTAACATTGTTGACGACTAAATGCGCATACTGGAAGAAGAAATTTTAAAATTCAGTTCTTTGTAATCTAGCTAATTGATAATATTACTGATGGAGTTCTTCTTCAACCTGGGGGATAGTCGATAGAATACAACATGCAGTAAGCGATGTGCGGAAGAAATGTACATTTTTTTTAAATTGAAGCGACAAACTTACAGTCCACCTCATAGTATGTGTGTAGCTATTGCAATCTATGGACATCTCTGAGGGCTAAGGTGGAATGTATCACACCTAAAATACTGGACCGGTGACGATAAATCCCTCGCTAAGCTTTCACGCTCAAGCTCTACACCCTACTCTTCCTGAGCGTGGGTGCTCAGGCTGCCCCGCGTATTCTGGGGGGTGCGAAAACCCGCTTGAGACTAAACCTGCTCGGGGCAAACGAAGCAATAAGTCAAAGGCGCCCCTGCCACGCTATCCGTGAATTTCTGCAACATCAGGGGACTTCATTCAAACCTTAACACCGTCCAATACCACCTGGAAACGGCGAAGCCGGCCTTGCTCTTTCTAACCGAGACACAGGTGTGCCCTCGGGCTATTACTTCGTATCTTTCCTTCCCGGGGTATTTAGAACACTCCTTTCTTATGACTGCGCGTAGACAGCGACGACCATCCGCGCATCTACGGGTGCCTCTATAGGCCCCATAGCGGTAATGCCGATACAGACCGACTCATCGACCACATCCAAATGGCTGCAGACTCAGACAACATGTCCCATCCGCAGAGATCGTGATGCTTGGTGATTTTAACGCCCACCACGTTGAATAGCTTGGTTCTCGTTTATTCTATCATGCGGGTAGATCTGTTTATGACTTTGCTTTGGCTTATGGTCTGTCTGGCTATGTCGCGTAGGCGAGGTAACACTACTGGTTACCTCGCCTACGCGGATCCCAGACGTGGAAGATCATGTACCTTCCCTGTTGGACCTTCTGCTGACCTCTCATCGGGACGGATATCAGGTCTCCGTCGATGACCGTCTGATCCGGAGTACGGTGCCACTCACACTCCCATCGAGGTTGCGTTCTGCAAGTTGCCGCCGTGTTTGGCATTATAGGTCAGCCGATTGGAACGGGATACGATCTTATTTTGCATCCTAACCTTGGAGGCGGGTTTGCTTCTCGCCGGATGATCCCAGCGTTGTTGCTGATTCTGTCGCTGATGTGGTGCTACAGGGAATGGAACTTTTTATTCCATCATATGTGGTACCTATCGGAGGCAGACCCAGTCATGGTTTGGTCGCTCCAACAAAATTGCATTACGTCATAAGCAAGAGTGCTACCAAGCCTGCGCTCACGCATCTACATTTCGGGATGCAAACACCAGCGCTCTTAAACAAACGTATAATTCCGCCTCCAGGTCCTTCAAAAGTGTCATTGTCAAAGCACAGTCAGAGCACATCGGCAAAATTGGCGAGAAACTAGTTCGTTTTCCTTCGGAAACACGTGCATTCTGATCTCTCTCTTAGGCTGTCCAAGGTAACTTCTGTCGACTCACTGGCCCATGCCGCAAAGGACTGCTCTCTGCTGGGCTCTCTCTTTGGGTCCAACTCGACTCTTGATGCCGGGGAGAATACACCGCCGACCATTGCGCGGTGTAAGTTTTCCATGCGAGATATGCTGTTTACCCAACGCTCGGCGCGCAAAGCACTCCTCTCCCTGGACGTCATCAAGTCGAGTGGGTCTATGGCGTCCTTCGTATAGTGTTGAAGACGTGTGCTCCGGAGTTAGCACCAGTTTTAACGCGTATTTTCCGGTACTACTACTGCCTAGGCGTAGTACCGAAATCATGGAAGATAGTTTTCGTGTACCCGATTCCAAAAAAAGGTAACCGCTCTGATCCGTCAAACTACAGGCCAATCGCCATCCTCCTCTCCTGTTCTCTAAAATAATGGAGTACATTATTAACAGCCAGCTTGCGGTACCTTAAGGATCACCAGCTGATTTGTGGCCGCTAGTACGGTTTCCGTCGCGGTCGCTCGCTGCCGGGACCTAACTCACAATGGGCAATAGAGCAATAGGACAATAGAGTCCAAGGGAGGCGTTGGCCGTTAGTTTGGGCATAGCGATGGCATTCGATCGGGTTTGGCACAAAGCTTTCTTACGAAGCTTCCTTTCTATGGGCTTGGATCACCAGTTTTCTTTCAGATCGGAGCATCAAGGTCGTAGTAGACGGTGCATGCTCCGACTACAAGCCTATTGTTCCACAAGACTGCGTGTTATCACCAACGCTGTTTCTTCTGCATATCAATGACATGTTGCAAACCGGTAACATTCATTGCTCTGCGGACGATTTATACACCGGCCTTGCCAATATTTCTCTGGAAAACGTGCCGAGTACCGGGACAAACTTGTGTCTGAAGTCAAGACTTTATTGTACAAAGTCTCGGACTGGGGGCGACTAGATCTAGTCCAGTTCAATCTCCAAAAGATACAAGCTTGCGCGTTTACTGCTAAAAGAAACCCCTTCTTCGCCTCCTCAGTTTCAAGACACTCCCCTTGTTGCCTCTGCCAGTATCGGAATCCTCGGCCTCGACATATACAGTCACGTGCAGTTTCGTGGTCACTTGGAAAAGAAGGCCGAATCGGCCTCTAAAAAGCTTGACGTGCTTGCTGAGCGGAACAGGATTTTATACCGGCACATCGCCTGCAACTTTACAAGGCGCAGGTTCGGCCGCACATGGAATACTGTTCCCATCTCTGGGCTGGGGCTCTCCAGTGCCTGCTCCTTCAATTTGATCGCATCCAGCGCATAGCGATCGCTAACGATTCGCGACCGAGCTCTTTCCACTCGGCTTGACTCACTGGCACTGGGAAGAGAAGTTGCATCTCTGCGTATTTTATCGCATTTACCACGGGGAATTCTTTGAGGAATTGTTCGGATTAATTCCAGGGGCACAATTTCACCATCGCACATCGCGACAACATTCGCTATACCTTTCACACCATCTATGACTCCTGACTGGCGGTCCACCACTGTACGATTTAAAAGAAGTTTTCTTCCTCGAACAACTTCCTTGTGAAATCGACTCATCATCATCATCATTATTACAGCCCTTCACAAGTCCACTGCTGAACATAGGCCTCTCCCAAGGTATGCCACAAAGCACGGTCCTGAGCCACCTGCATCCATCGACTTCCTGCATGTCTTACCAGGTCGTCACTCCATCTAGTGGGGGGTCGCCCTACACTTCGCCTACCGGTACGAGGATGCCACTCGAGAACCCTTCTGCCCCAACGGTTGTCGGTTCTTCGAGCTATATGGCCTGCCCATTGCCACTTCAGCTTACTAATCCGCTGGGCTATGTCGGTCACTCTGGTTTTACTGCGGATATCCTCATTTCTGAGTTTATCACGCAGAGAAACTCCGAGCATAGCCCTCTCCATAGCTCGCTGAGCGACTTTGAGCGTCCTCATACGGCCAGCAGTGAAGGACCACGTCTCGGTTCTGTAGGTCATCACTGGCAACACGCACTGGTTGTACAACTTAGTTTTCAGGTTTTGAGGTATACCTGACGAGATGATGCGTCGTAATTTCCCGAAAGCTGCCCAGCCGAGTTGAATCCATGGATTGACCTCTCGGTCGAAGTTGGACTTACCTAGTCGGACTATTTGTCCTAGGTAAACGTACACGTCAACAACTTCGAGCTTAGTGCTCCCAACAACTACCGGCAAAGGTGTGACATGGACATTAAACATGATCTTAGTTTTGTCCATGTTCATCTTAAGACCTATCCATTGGGAGGCACTATTGAGGTCATTGAGCATAGTGCTTAAGTCCTCCAGCGACTCTGCCATAAGAACTATATCGTCGGCAAATCGAAGGTGAGTGATGTACTCGCCATTGATGTTAATACCGTATCCTTTCCAGTCCAGTAGCTTGAAAACTTCTTCCAATGCAGCGGTGAAGAGTTTCGAGGAAATAACGTCACCCTGTCTTACACCTCTCTGCAGTTGGATAGGTTCTGTACTCGGATAGCTATCGTAGCCCTACTGACCTACAAACACTTCAACACCTCGATATACCGACAGTCAACTTGGCACCGCTGAAGAGACTGTAGCACCGTCCAAATTTCGACGGAATCAAAGGCTTTCTCATAGTCCACATACGCCAGCCAAAGTGGCAGATTGTACTCTTTGGACTTCTGTACAATTTGCCGAAGGGTATGTATGTGGTCTATGGTACTAAAGCCTTTTCGAAAACCGGCTTTTTCGGGAGGCTGGAAGTCGTCGAGTTGCTGCGAGACGATTAACGAACACACTAACGCGGCTCAGAAGGGATATCGGTCTGTAGTTCTTCAAGAGGGCGTTGTCACCTTTCTTAAAGAACAAGACCACCGCACTTCTGCTCCACGCCTCCGGAGTAGTGCCACCATGGAGGACGGAATTGAAAAGCTTCTGAAGGACTTCAAGTACCGGTGTTCCACCCGCTTTCAGAAGCTCCGCTATAATTCCATCCTCGCCTGGGACCCTGCCGTTTTTAAAGTGCTGGAGAGTCATTCTAATCTCGCTCAGACTGACGTCCGGGATATCATCGGAATACCACCAGAGATTTTTCCTGACCGATACGACTTAGGGACCTTCAAGAAAAGATCCTACTCCTTTTTAAAAGGCCGGAAACGCATCTGCAATTCAACTGGTGTTGCAGTTGTTCATGGACGGCGGTAATCACTGACGTAAAAACTAAAAAATAGTACTAAGTAATTTACTTTACATTACTATAGATTATTAGTTTTCAATAATATAATTTCTATTTTGTTTTGTTTTGTTGCTTTAAATGTGTTCGTTTATGTTAAATAAACGTAAAATATAATTAATCCGTTATAGTCTGTAACGCTCCCCTCCTGATCATTTCAGACTTCCCGATAAATTGCTTCATAGGAGTGATTTTGCTACTGCAGTTGTTTATTATTTTAAGATGTTACCAGGAAGATGCTGCTGCTCATCTCCCGCTTCAGTTTCCTTCTGTCGCCATTTACGACACCCACAGGACGA